AATTTTAAATTTAATAATTAATTTTTTTTAAAATATTAATTAAAATAAAAATTTTTAGACAAACTTTTAAAAAAAAAATTAAAAAGATAACTTGAGAAACACTTTTTCCTTAACAATATTAAAAAAATTAAAGTATTTCCATAAATTCGCCAATGTGTATTACGTGTTATCGACGTGCACTATAGTAAATAGCATTTTTAAAAAAAAAATAATTTCAATAAATCACTGATATGCATCGTATTGTTAAAATATTTCAGGTAAAAATGAATTAAATTGAAAAAAATTTATAAAAACTTTACATTCAACGGCAGAATTTATGTAAAAAATATAATAACCACCCCATTTCATTAACATATTAAAAAAAATTACATTATGGCAGAATTTATATCGGGAAGTTTCTCTCTACAATGGCTTCGCTTTCAACCTCTCTCTTCACCCCAAAAAGCCACCTTCAGAATAGTAGTTTGATAAGAAAACTTCATCCTCCACCATTTATAATTCAGCACAATCTAATTTTTTGGGAACTTGACAATTTGCATATATATTTCATTGGGAAAGAATATTATTCTTAAACTATTGTATATAAAGAGTTGTTAGTATAATTATTGTGGATAAAATAGTTTCATAAACTATTTTAAGAATAATAATTTTTACCTATCCATTAAAAACATTATTCCCATGATACAATATCTACTCAAAGAACTTCGATCACCCAAATCAGTATACTCAAACTTAATTAAAAGCAAAGCCTCGAAATTCAAATAAAAAGAAAAAAAAGGGCAACGAAGAAACTATAAAATTCACAAAAAAAAAAAAAAAAAAAAAAACTTTAATGAGTACTTTTTACACAGTCTAAATTAGATGCAAATTTTCTAATAATTTTCGTTTTTCTGCATCTGTTTTTTACACCAAAAGTTTTAAGTTAAAATATTAATTTGATTCTTCAACTTTTAGATTTCTATTAAAATTATCTTTTAACTTCAAAAAGTATTAATATTGTCCCTAAATTGTAATTTTGGTGTCAAAATAATCCTCAAACTTTAAAGATAATACTAATTTAATCCTTAAACTTTGAAGACAAGTACCAAATTAGTCCTTGAATATTGATTTCAAGTACCAATTTGGTCTTTTAATTTTGATTATATATCAATCTAATATGTCAATAGAAATATGTCATAATGGTAAAATATGATTGTTTAATTTTACACATCATTAGTAGTTTAAAAAAGAACTAATTTTTGTGGCAAAATAAAGAGTTTTGTACACTTTTGTTAACAGAATGATTTTTTTGGTATTGAAAATTAAAGTTCAAGGACATTTTTGATACCTTTTGAAGTTAAAAAACAAGTTTAGTACAAATCTAAAAGTTAAAAGACCAATTTAATATTTGGGAAAGGTTACGTGCACATCCTAAACTGGTACACACTACCACATACCTCTAGTTCACCCAATAAAATATTGTGGGGTGCCAAAATACTCTTATCCTTGTCTTCTTCATCACAACGTACTGCTTCCTCTCCCTTTCTCACTCGTTGCCTCCCCCTCAAATGTATTCTCTTCTCCAATCCTCCCCTAAATCTTCCCTTTCCTCCTCCACCCACTACTTTGTTTCTCAAAACAAGAAGGGCAACCATAACCCACCTCCCCAAGAAGCTTGCCGTTACAAGATCCAATACTTGTAACTTGTTCCTTTTTAACCCTCAATTTCCAAAAACCATTTCACATTGATGAGTCCTCCGATTTGACCATTTGGGAACAAGAAGTGTGAGGGGATTCAAGAATTACTGAAAAACTAAAGAAAATAAAATTGGGTCATCACCGACATCGATATTGTGTGCTGGGTTAGATCTGGGTTTGCAAGGAACCCAGATTTGTCCCAAACCCAAATCATCTGAGTTTGTGCAGACACAACATTGTCTTCGCACAAACCCAATCACAGCAAGGGAGAGGGGAAGAGAAATGTAGTCGAAAATGGGTAGAAAAAAGGTATTGGAAAAGTGCTAGATTCATGGAGAAGAAGATGAATAGGGGAGGCACCTATTTTCAATCTGTTTGGTAACAAGAATAGGCAATGTCTATAGTTTCAACCCTTATTCCAAGCTAACTAACAAGGACGAAGCCAATGAAGGACAAGGGGGGGCAACTACCCCCCCAAACTTTTGAAAAACATTTAATATGGTACTTCAACTTTTATTTGTTAAAAATTGTGTTATAGTATGAATTTCAAGAATCATTTCAAATGTAGAGAGAATATTTATGACTTAAATAAAAATTTTTCAAAAAATAAGGATATGATTTTAAATAAAACAAATTTTGTGACAATTTAATTAAGAATTGTGGTTCTTAAACATTTCCTTATCTATTATGGCCCAAAAAAGAAAATTTTGATTCTTTATTTAATTAACTTTAAATTTATAGTCTTCTTTAGGTTTTTTTTTTTTTTTTTTATGTATAACTAGAAATTAAACTCTAGATTTACAACGAAGAATGTAAATAACTTACTACCTGCGCACAGGTAGGTTTTAGCATTTATGATTAAGTGGGCGCGCACTCCTACTTGCTCCTCTCTCCCTGCCTACCCTCCTTCATAATATCCATAAATAATAAATGGAGGGAAAGCAGAAAAAACCAGAAAAGGCAGAACCAAGGAAAAGCATTCGTGGAGAAAGGGATTAAAATAGAAGAGGAGCAAGATATAGTGATTGTAGGGGGTTGGGATTCCTGGCCTCGTCACTGCCCTTGCTCTTCACCGGTTTCCCTCCGCAAACCATCATTTGTTATCTCCATTTGATTCCAAGATTGCAAAATATATCATTGATCTTATAAGAAAAAGTGTTATTGCATGCTTTCTTTTTTCAGGAAAGGCACAAGGAACATGGTATTTGAGAGATCAGATAGGTTTGCAAGCCGTTGGAATCGGGATCATAAGCCAACCAAATGCATGGTGAGCACTTGATCAGTTGGGCGTTGCTCCTAAGCCCAGGAGACTGCTGTTGACTTACAATGGTAAAATAAATGGAAAGAATATATATGTTTTTTTACCATACTTTCTGCTATAACTATTACGTTCTTATTAATCCAGAGCACAAATCCTATAAGTTGATGATAGTAAACGCTATGAAATATCTCTTGGGTAAGTTGATTAATTATTAGCTGTTGTCTTGGTTTTTGTTATGCATATATACATAGCATATACATGTTTGAAATTTTAACAGTTCAAACTGTCAGAATCTTTAGATGAGGCTGCCTTGCATTCAGCAAGCTGCCCCCCTCTAATGGTCATTGTTGTATAATTTAATATAGTATAAACTACATAATAATTTTTCTCTTGTATGCTTTGATTTCGACCCTTCGGACACAAACTTTTTTTTGTTTAAGAATATAAAGTATGAGGCCTAAAATTCGATTCTCCATTCTCCATGATTCGCAGGAAGGGGGAAAACCGATGTTTAAAACGAATGGATCTCATCAAGGCATTAGTTGAGCCTTACCTGACAACACCATCCGTTTTGGATGCCAAGTGCTCTCCATCAGATTAGATCCTTCAAATTCTTACCTTCATTATGGCACTGTCATTAGAGCCATGGTAATTCCTTTCTTGAAATCTAACAATTAAATTTCAAAATTAATTTTATACTTTATTTGACTAAACTGTTAAAAAATGATTGATACTTGATAATTGATATCCCATGATTATTTTATATGCAATATCCAACAATTCAAACATTATCTATTATCCTTAACAGTCAAACAAAATAAAGTCATAAATAAGATGTTTTTCAACACCTTCAAGATTATAAATTTATGCAATCGGGAAACAGGCAGTGATTGGGTGTGAAGGGATGAACCCCGTCGTTGCAAATTTTCTTGGTATAAAATTTCCTAGGCTTTTCTCAAGAAATGTGCAATAAGACGTTTCACATTTTATGAAGATAGTCATGAATTTGGTCCTACGTTCGGTTTATTCAACTCTGAGAAAGTCATAATTGGACAGCTGCCAAATACGGACAAAATTGTTTATGGGTTCCTTACTCGGACATTGACTTTTCCACGGATATTTAATCTCTTCTAATCAGAAACAGAACAACTAGTTTATGTCGTCACATCAAGCGGTTTAATATATGCTAACTGAAAAAAATAACACTTGAATTTCTTTATACATAATGAGATTGTTCTGGCAAAGAGAAACAAAACTTTAACATAAAACAATCAAGTGTGGAAGCAGTGAATGGCTTTCCTGGCGATATGGTTTTTTTTTTTTTCTTTTTTTTGGGTTTCCCGCCCGGTACCAAGGGCTTCACCCCAATTAATTCGGACTCGATCCACGTCACGCATCTGAAAATGGTAGATGAGTTTCCCAACGGACTGCTACGTACACAAGGTCTCAAACTCAAGATCTTCCTTAATTTGAAACAAGTCATTTACCACATGATCCAACCCCTCGTTAGTTCCTTGCAATATGGTAGAAATGGTGAAAAACAGTGATCTCAACTCTCTCCATCTCAGTGAACTGAGATACAGTACGCTCACCATGGGATGTGCATGGAGCCAACTTCCGTAGGGGACAGTAGTGGTGGCCGGAGATGCCATGCACGCAGTGTGTCTGTTCACTGCCCAAGGCGGAGGAGTCTCTCTAGAGGATGCAGTCGTTCTGGGCAGATGCTGGTCGGAAAAAATGATGCAGTTTGATTCTGGAAGATGAATTATTAAATTGTTGGTAGAGGAAGCCCTTGATGAGTACATAAAGCAACGGGTATGGGATTGTTCTGGTTATCATTGCAAACCTACTTGATCGGTACAACCATTAACAATGAATCAAAAATTAAAAAGGTTTTAGGTATTGTATATCTTCCTAATTGCCATCTTCGGGGATAATCATGTTATTTAAGGTTACAATTCTAATTTTTTTTCTATTTTATAATCAAGAATGACATGTAATATTCTCTTAATATAAAAATATTAAAACTAATTAAAATTAATTAAGAATAATAGATTTATATCTTTAAATAAAAAATTGCAATGGAACAAAGCTTAAAACTACAAACCGGAGCGAAACTAAATGGCTTTTAATCTATGACCATTGATCCAATAGCATTTCATACTAAAATTTAAAGCAGTGATAGGAACAATTTTTTTATAAAATTTTTTTATACAATTTTTACATGTTATTAAATGAATAAATACAGGTAATATCATAAGTTACAAATGAATCAAAATAATTAATCATTTAAATAACATGTAAATTTGTACTAAAATGTAGTAAAAAAAATTGTACCTAAATTATTTTTCTTCCAACTAAAAATCTAACTTGCAGCTTTTGGAGGTTGGTTATCTATTGTTTTTTATTAATAAATTCCTGAAAATTTTCAAACTAAATTAAATGTAGCATATTCCAACTAACTGAATCTAGCCGCAGCTTTTCCATCATCAGAGCCATCAAAATGTCTCCCACCAGGCATCATCAGCATCCTTGGATGTGGAAGCAGTGCACCAGAGACATCACCCCACCAATCCGGATTTTGAGTGTACCAATCTATAGTCTTCTTTAAGCCCTCTTCCCATGTTGTTCGTTCTGACCATCCCAAGTTCTTCAGCTTTTGATCATCTAGAAAGTACCTCTGGTCATTAAATGGTCTGTTCTCCACAAACTTGATGCTTGTCTCAGGATCCATCGAGAAAAGCTTGCATACATCCTTAGCCACATCAATGACTCTCCTTTCCTTCTTCGTCCCAACATTGTACACATGGCCAACTTCACCCTTGTGAAGAATGACTTCAAATGCCTCAGCAACATCCTCACAGTATAAATAACTCCTCACATTGGAACCATCCCCATGAATAGGAAGAGGCTTCCCGTTCATTGCCAAGAGGATAAACTTTGGAATCAATTTTTCAGGAAACTGGTTGGGACCATAAACATTGTTTCCACGCGTTGTTATTACAGGTAACCCATATGACCTCCCATATGCCATAACAAGCATTTCTGCTCCAGCTTTTGTTGCAGAGTATGGGTTTGTAGGGAGGAGCTGAGAAGCTTCATGGTTTCCTACAACAGCATCCTCATCTGTCTCCCCATAAACCTCATCAGTACTGACATGGATGAACCGCCTAATCTGGCCAGTAACCTTGCAGGCTTCAAGCAGGACATGGGTGCCATAAATATTGTTCTTGGTGAACTCAAAGCTATTCCCAAATGAGTTGTCAACATGGGTTTGGGCTGCAAAGTGCATTATTGTGTCAATGGACTCAGTAATGAGAAGATAGTTGACAAGATCGGCACTGCCAATATCTCCCTTCACAAACTTAAAGTTTGGAGATGATTTTGAGGGGTTCAGGTTCTTCAGATTCGAACAGTAATCAAGTTTGTCAAGCACAACAATTTTGTAGTCAGGGTAGCTCCTGATGAGCCGATTGGCAACATGTGATGCAATAAATCCAGCGGCACCAGTAATCAGAATGTTCTTCGGCTTATATGTGGCCATGTCAAAAGCAATTCTACAAAATCAAAAAGATACAGAAATGATTAAGAATTAAAGCAAAAGGCATTAATTTTCTGCGTCGACAACCTTAATAAATAACCTTAATAGATATGAAAAAGTACACAACAGCACCGACTAATCAACAACCCAAAATAAGCTCTAAAGCTCCAACAAAAGAAAACAGAAATCATAAATATAATATATACAAGAAAAAACAAACAGCAGATCTGAGGCTTGAGCCATCAGAAGAACAACACTGCCAATTCAATGTGATAAAATACTTTACAATTGCTTCTTTTCTGTGCATCAAATTGATTTAAAAGCTCTAGCTCCCATCCCCATTTCCCCAAAAAAACAAGTAATTAACCATAGCAAAACCATCGTCAAGATCCACCAGAAAATTACCAGATCCAATACAAAAATATAATGCCAACTAAAATCACAGAAAGAACAGATCTTCTCGGGAAATGCAACCCAGAATACCCCTTGAATCCAACAGAATGAGCCATTTTTGTGTTCTTAACAAAGATCTAGATCGAATTGAGCAACAAATGCAGCTAAATCAAATGCAAATTAGACATCAGAAAACAACAATTTCTTCCATATGCAAACATATCAAACGAAACTAAACAATACAGAGACCAAAAACAGCGTCCGGGCAACATCAAATTGAATCCAGAAAGCATGATCACATACGATTTCATGAACAACAAATGGAAAACCTAGCAATTGAATACCTACTTCACTAGCGGGATGAATTCGAATTAACCAGCCCAATGATTGCGAGAAACAAAGGATTAGGATTCTAGAGAAAATGAGGGAGGCGGAGAGAAGGTGACTGAGAAAACAACAAAGGGAGAAGAGAGCACGGAAAGTGCGAACTCAGGGGGACTATTTATATGTTTTTACCATTAGGAAAGTAATGGTAAAAGATTTTAATAAAAAAATTAAATTCTTTAAATTCACAAAAACATTTTTAATCATTAGTACGTATTAATTTTGATTATATAAAAAGATTAAAATTTTAACTTATAATTAAAAATTAAAATCTCAATTTAAAATTTAAATGTTTATTATATTAAATATGGATATCTAAATTTGAAAACCTATTATATATTCTAATA